TCTGATAACTGTATTGTTCAATTTATCTTGTTTTTTATTAAAAAATTGGACGACAATTGTGTTTTAAAAAAATAAATCATACATTTTTTTTTGTGATAAAAATAATAAATTGAACGAGTTACAATTATCAAATCAATCTAATTTTTTTTTGTAAAATACACGAAGTAGTAGACAAAATAAACGATTTGGATCAACAAAACGTGGCCTGTGGTGAACCTCACAAGTCTAAATAGTCCACTCCAATCTAGTCTAGATTTAGGCAAAGTGATGATGAAGTGGGGATTGATATGCATGCTAAAACTATATTTAAATTATAGATTTGAATAAAAACTTTAAAAGTAAAAAAAAAAATTAATTTATATTTCATTGTGCTATTTGGGAATTCGGTTTTTGGTTTTTTGTTTTTTTTTTTTTCACTAAAAGATAAATTCGTTACAAAATCAAGAAAAAAAACAAATTCAAACAAAATATCACATCAAATCTCATAATCATTTCACTTTTTCTCTCACAAACATCACATCTAACCACAAAAAAACTCAACTATCTTCCCAAACACAAAAAAAAATTTCTCCACTAATATCATACAACTAAAAAAACCTACAAAAAAATCCATTTCCCAAACGCCCATATTAACATTATACAGACTTTAACACGTTTTCATCTAATTAAAAATGGATGGATTGGAGAGTGGATCCCCTAATTGTTTGGACCTAAATGCATCGTTGGGGTTTCATGTAGAAGATATTGGGCCTTTTTTCATGTTGGAGAAAAGCCCGTTTGGTGACCTAGTTGGGTCATGTCATGTCCTGTCCATCTGGAGGAGGTAGAGTAGAATTAGAAAATTGACAAAATTAATATATATCTATCTATTTATAATTGTTAATATTAAAAGGGAACAACTTTTTTGAAATCTTGAAGTCATTATTTTAGAGTTTTTTTTTAAAAATATGTTCTTAACTTTTTACACTTATATCAGTTTGTAATTAAGGGTAAAATGACAAATTCAAACCAATCAATTTCACTTTCCCACTCCCCACATCTCCAAACTCATGTGCAATTTTAAATCAGTTTCAACAATTTTACTAAAAAGTTCTAAAACTTGCTTTTCATGAAACTGCATTTTTTTTATGGATGTTAGGCGGAGTCTCTTTTGATAGTGCCCTACAGACATGTGATTGGTTGTAAAGGCCCTTTGATTAGGGGTGTAAATTTGGCTCGGCCCGGCCCAGCCTGGACATGTTGGGCCTCGCGAGCTCTCGCCAAAATTTGGGTCGGGTTAGGCCACAGGCCAAAAAATTAAGCCCAGCCCCAAGCCCAAGCCCAAGCCCATGGGCATTCAGGCCTTGGGTGGGTCGGCCTGGGTCTCGCCTCGAGCTTGGGCGGGCTTGACCATTTTTTTATTTTTTTAAATTTTTTCTACCAAAATTTTATTATTTTCCACTAAATGGGGGGGCTTGATCATTTTTTTTTTTTTTAAATTTTTTCTACTAAAATTTTATTATTTTCCACTAAAAAATACACTAGGTCTCGGTGTAAGCCAGGCCCGGGTGGGTTTCAAGAGGGTCGATGGGCTGGCGACGGGCCAGGTCGGGCTTCAAAACGATGGCCCAGGGCCTAGCCTAGGGGCTCGGGCCTGGGCCCAAACGGGGGAAAAAATTTAGCATATATTTTATTTGCATTTTTTAAATTTTTATTTAAATTTATAAATCCAAACATAGGTGAGAAAATACTAGTCTGTAAAGCAAGCGAATTTTCAAACGAATTAAAATATTAAAAAAAAATGGAGAGGAGTGAAAAGAAGTTTTCTTTGTCATTCCTTTCAACCCAGAATATGTAGAATTACTATTCGATTATTCTAATAAACAAAAGGCATGTTTGATTGACATGATTAGAGTATGGGATTGAAATTATTAATCCGTGGACCCAATAATCCTGTGTTTTCTTTGAAATTTTGTTTCAGGCACTACAAAAAATTAAGGTTTTAGAAACCAAAATTTAGGGACAAAATTAGTTTTTAGGGACCAAATAATTTTGTTGCGAAAAGTGTTGTAATTATATTTTTAGCAATAAAATTGGACATTAGTGATGAATTATTATTCTTTTGGGACCAAAATTTTTATCTCAAAAAATAAACCATTTTGAGATCAAATTGTTTTGTCCTTAAAAGTCTATTTATTAGTGACATTTTTAAAAACATTTCGCTAAAAGCCTTGTTTTTAACTTTTCGGGATGACCTTTTAGCGACTATCCTCATGACGATAAAAATTGCTCCTTAAATGTATTTTGCGACAAAATTTTCACTTTTAGAGACCAAAAACATTTGGTTTTTAAAACTCTTATATGTTGTAGTGAGGGTTATTCATCCAATGACTAATTAATCCAATAAATTTGTAGGATTATTAGTAATGGGGTAGGGGTGAGGTTATATATCTTGAGTTGGGAAATAAAATAAAAAGATTTTTTTTACCTTCATATGTTTTCTTATTCAATGCAAATCAAACAATGGATAAGGGGATAATTTATCCTACTAATTCAGTTGGATAGTGAATACCACACTAATTTGATGGGATCATTAATACTTTCACTATTAGTCTTCTAAATCAAACATGGCCAAAGAGGCTAGTGATAAGGAAGATCTAGGTTCAAAGAAGGCCAATGAAACCTTAGCCCTCGCAAAAGCCTCAGTGTCTAGTTAACTGAGGATGTTGAGCACAGTATTTGGATCATAAATTTGAATAGAAATTTAAAAATAACATAATAGTAATGATACATCTCTCTAATTTTGGAACTCTACTAGGGAATAAACAAATAAAAGTCAAAATATCACCATCATTGTAGAACCCACACACTTAGAGCTCGTTTAGAGCTTCCAATTTAGAGCTCCCAAACATTTTGTAAAAATAAAAAGAGAAATAGAAAATAATAATAATTTATACTTTATTCATATTTCTCTTACTTTTTTTCATTTTGCTTTCTAAATTTATACCTAAATTCTTCATCTAAATACAATCTAAAGGAAATTATGGAGCTTGAAAGGAATGATAAAGTGCAGTTCTTAGAGATAGGTGAGAAGTGATAGAGACCACTGTTATCAGGTGGCATTTTACCTGGTGTGTGCATTTTTGTTGCAACAAATATCCTCACCTAGAATATTATTAGTGGTTTGGGTACATTATTGCTATAACACACCTCAAAAATTGTTATAATATTTAAGAGAGAAAGAAATTTGTATTATATTAAATGTAATAATAATGTATATAAGACTCTTTTATATAGCAAAAGAGAAATTTAAGTTCGATAATTTTGAGTATGGTAATGAATATAATATGGTATGTATGATAGACAGAATATATAGTTACTATATTTAACACCCTTCAAACTCAAGAATGGATACTAACTTGAGTTTGGAGAGATAAAATAAAACATGAAATAATACTAAAAAATAAATAAATAAACAAAAGACAAATAGATTGCAAAGTCTGAATGGGAGCTTAATTGCGAAGTTCGAACGGGAGCGCAATGGCGCTTGAGATAGATCAGATGCTAGAGTTAATATCAGAAGACAGTTTATGTTCGTGTCAAATCATTGTAAGAACTAGTCGGAACTAATGTCGGGACAGTTTAAGGTCATGTTGGATCGTTGTAGGAACTGACCGGAATCAATGTCGAGACAGTTTATGAGGTCATGCCAGACTATTGTAGGAACTAACCGGAATCAATGTCGGGACAATTTAAGGGGTTATGTCAGACCGTTGTAGAGACTAATTGGAATCAATGTCGAGATAGTTTAAAAGGATCATGCCAAACCGATGTAGAGAACTGGATGTTGAACCAGCAAGCACGACAAACACATAACTTATGATGTGGTGCTAAATAATGATGGCAACAGATGACTAAGCGTGTTAGGGAGCGGCTTATTAGAAAGTGTGCCAGGGGACGGTTTGGATGGTACGCCAGAAGGCGACTTTGGTGGTGCGCCAAGGGATCAGCCCAAATGATACGCCACATGGAGCAGCTTGGGTGGTGCACCATAGGGATGACTTGGGTTGTGCGCCAAGGAGGCGATCATCAAGAAGGCAACGAAGAAGGGTCGTAATTGCGGACGGCGTGATGGCTGGAGTGACCCAGAAAGAAGTTGATGAAAGGTTGGAAAACGCCATATGCCGGTGAACAAAGCGAAGATGAGGCAGGCTATGACATGTTGGTCGGTGGTGGAGGTGAGAGAGAGAGAGAGAGGTTGATGGACATAGTTGGAGCGTGAGTGCTCATCTATGCTCCTTAACATAGATACAAAGGGTCAGATGATGTTGTTGGGTGATAGTGCCGAGAAAGAGATGGTCTGGCGAAGTCGTCGGAGTTAGAAAATGGAGCAGAGTGAGGGTATGTGTAGAAAACTCTAGCAGGTAGCAAAGGCAAGATTGCCGGTCGGCTGCCTGCCGGTAAGAAAGAAATACAGGCCTAAATCTTATAACTCTGATACCATGTTATAATATTTAAGAGAGAAAGAAATTTATATTATATTGAATGTAATAACAATGTATACAAGTCTCTTTTATATAGATAAGAATGACAACAGGCTGGGGTCGGGCCGGGGATTACACTCCCTATCCCCGATCCTCGAATGTAAAAAAACTCCCCGTCCCTGCCCCCGATCCCCGGTGGGAAACCCATCAGGCCCCCGCCTCCTTCCTTTAATAGGGATCAGGTTTCTCAACCCTGAAAAATCTCCAACCTTTTTTTTGTTTTTTTAGGCAGAGGGAAGACAGAGAAAAGATAAATTCACAAAGATGCTTGAAATTGGGATTTGTAGAAAAACATTCAATGAAGCACGTTTAAGAAAAAAACAACATTTCACATAACATTCAATCATCTACTCAATGAGAAGTTTACAAGCAATCTTTTTCCTTGTAAATTACTGATTACTGATTTTTACAAGCAATCATTAAATCACCGATTTTTTTGGATGTGTTTTGTTAGGGAAATCCCAAGGAAACAGTAAATTACAAGCAATATGTTTCCTTTTAACAAGCAATCTATAGATTGGTTGTTGTGGGAATGTAATTACAACCAATCTATTTCCTTTTAACTTGTACATTTCCTTGTAAATTACATCAATATGTAAATGAAGGATATATCAAAAAATCACATCAATCTGTAAATTACAAACCAATCGCAACATATGAAGGATATATTAGAATCCGAAACAAAATCAAGCAAATCGCAACATATATATCGTACAAATCAAATGGTATCTACAAAAATGGATGAAGAAGAGTGTGACCAGAGAGAGAAAGACACCTTGTTCACTAGCGGCGATGCCTTGTTCTGGCTTCGATCGTTGCGCAGATTTGAGTTCACTTTCGCCGAGATCGGATGAGGAGGGAGATTGGTGGTGATGGGAGGAGGGAGAGGACAGCGGAAGGAGGGAGATTGGCGATGATTCACTTTTGCCGAGATCGAACGATGAGAGAGATTAGTGGTGATGAGAGGAGGTAGAAGAGGACAGCAAACGGATGGAGATCAGCGGTGATTCACTTTCGCCGAGATCGGAGGAAGAGAGATATCGGCTGTGATGGAAGAGGGGAGAGGAGGACAGCAGAGGGAGGGAGATCGGTGATGATGAGAGGGTTTTACAGAGAGAGAGAGAGAGAGAGAGAGAGATGAGATGGGGTGAGTCAGTCTGCTGTGTGTGAGTGTGATGTGAGGTTGTGTAGCTGTGTTTTAGGGTTTTGGTTTATATATATAGAGGGGTATAATAGTAATTTTATATCGGGGAAACGGGGCCGGGTTTAGGGTTAGAGAACGTATCACCGTCCCCGGTCCAAAATTTGTTGGGAATTTATTTTTTAATACCATGCCTGACACATCAGAGGTATTTTTTAGAAAAAAACTGTTCTAATTGGGGTCGGGGGAAGCGGGTCCCCGTTGGATCGGATTCAAATTATCATTCTTATATATAGGAGAAGAGAAACCTATGGTAATTCTAAGTATGATAATAAATATAATATAATATATATGATAGACAAAATATATAGTTATTATATTTAACACGTAAGTGTAAAGAATTTCTCTTATTTTGTTGGGAAATGTGTATTATTTTCCATCTTAATTATGACCCCAAAAAAAAAATTCTCCATAATTGTGTGTTGGAAATGATTTTAATCCTGGAAATGATTTTAATCCTGATAAGTTGAGTGGAAAATAGAGAATAATTAATGGTTTGTTTTATGTTAAATAATTATGCAAGAATTATGATGGGAGCAAAATTGTCAAAATTTAGATGTTTATGGAGGAATGCAGCCCCTCCCAAAATTATATTTGCACACACCACTAGTTTATATATATTAGTGTGTTGTACACGTAATACGTGTATAATTCAGATAAGTAAATATAAAAATAAATAATAAAAAATTAATATCATGATATATGTTTTGTCTAAATGATAAGAGTATTTTTATTGAAACCCAAGGTCTGGATTTAAATCTTGCTCACGCATTTGAATAATATTTTTTTATTTTAAGATAGAAAAATTTGCCACGTAACAGAATAAGAAACCACCACATTATTAGACACTAAATCATGTACTCACATATATAGTAGTCCAGAAGATGAGTGTGCAAGCGCACATGTGTTCTAGTAAAAAAATAAAAACAAAAGTAATTTAGAGATTGAAAATTGAATAATATTAAGCATATTTCTGATCTTACTATTATATTTTATTAAACAGTCACAATTTATTTGTAAAACATATAAAGAAGTTATATCTATACTATTATATATGTGAGCACATGCCTTGGTGTCCAAGAGTATTGCAGCTTCTCCTTTTACCACGTAGTAAATTATTTTATCCTAAAATAGAAAATATATTATTCAAAGAAACAAGATTTGAAACTAAGACATAGGGTTTCATTAAAAACACTATTACCATTTGAAAAACATACATATTATAATATTAATTTATTTATTATTTATTTTTATACTTACTTATCTGAATTGCACACGCATATCGTGTGCCACCTGCTAGTATATATATATATGAAGAAATTAAGAATAGATGACAGAATCTTCGATTTTTTAAAAAAAATGTTGTACATAAATGGACTTCTCCCAAATTTTTTTTACTACTTTGCGACTAGTTCATAACCTTCTTGATTAACATGAACATTGGGCAAGGAAAGTTGTGAAGATTCTGAGAAAGTTTTATCTTAGGGCCGTTGTAATCCGTTTCTAACATCATGTGCGCGGGGAAACAGCAACAATAGGACACACCTCTCAATTTCACACCAAAACTTTTTTCCTTTATTTATTTATTTGTTTTTCAGTGCTCGTCTATTTTAGATTGTGTTACAAATTGTTTTAGCATTGTCTAAAAATTCATAATTTTATATTTAAATTTTTTTTATTGCAGAAATTTTCTAAGATTGAAGTTGTTAGGGAATTAGGGAGTCGACAAGCGCACACAATCACTGGCCCAATCAATTGGGAAAAAACTTCAAAACCCACGCTTAATATCAAAACTCAACATACATTATTTAGAATACATACCAAAAATATTAATGCTAACATTTTATGTAAGGTTTTGATTTGATAATAGGTTGTGATTGATGTCAAGGAGGATTCTCCATGCCAAAAGAGTACACCCATTTGTAGCCTGGACTCTGATCTTAGAAATTATTTGTAGGAAAAGAACCAACATTCAAGCCTTTCTTTTCACTGATCCAATCTAGAAATTCACCACAGAAACTAGATGAAGTCGTTAAGAATTTTTGGGAAGATTGAGCTTTGGTCTGGTTTTTTCCGATGTCAGCTTTTTGGCATAGCGTATGCTTGGCTTGAGTGCATGTGTCAACCGAGGTGGGATTGGGATATGATTCTAGATGCTAATGCCCTCTTTAGCCCTCTTGGCGTTTTGATATAATTTTTATATGCTCCTTATACTTTATGTTACATCAATGAATTTTTCTTTCGCTGGCAATAAAAAATAAAAAATAAAAATTGAAAATTTGGGTTCTCTCAAAATAATTAGCCATCGGTAAAAACTGCTCAAGTGACAACTAAGAACGATTTATGGGTTGAAACAAATAAGGGGAATTTGGTCAATAATTCTTTAACATAGTTTGCAATAAAAAAAGGACACTTCAACCATTTTATGAAGTCCATTAAAATAGATTTTTTTTGTGAGGAGGACACAATACAGCGTGGGTTTTTTGTGTGATGAATTCACTATTTTTTGTGTGATCAATTTGCTGCTTTTGAAAATATTGACAATAAAAATGTTGACAATATTGACAATATTCATAATTTTATCTCAAATTGATAGTCATTAATTATACGGGAAAGAATTTCTTATTGAAAATGTTGCGAAAGGCTGATTTTGAGTCAATAAAAATGAAGAAATTTGCTGCTTTTGAAAATATTGACAATAAAAATTTTGACAATATTGACAATATTCATAATTTTATCTCAAATTGATAGTCATTAATTATATGGGAAAGAATTTCTTATTGAAAATGCTGCGAAAGGCTGATTTTGAGTCAATAAAAATGAAGATTTCTTCCAAAAGATGGGTACTGCCAATGAAAATTTCTTTTAAATGCTTCCTCCTGGTATGCTCGGAAGTGGATTTCAGTCACTTCTAAATCTAGGCACTTTCGGAAAAAATTCGATTTTTCACCACCTGGGCTTTGATACCAATTGTTGGAGATCGAGGGCACACCAGGAAACACAAACAAGCAATAACACAAGAGTTTTAACGTGGTTCGGTAAGTCGCCTACATCCACGGGCAGCGGATTTCACTATATGGAGAGAAATGGAAGAATTAGAACGGAAACAATACACTGATAGTTTTTCTCTATATCAACTCTCCCCTTAGCCTCTCTATTTATACACTCAAGAGAAGGTAGAAAGGTTGGCTGGCCTTGCACATGGCCAGCCTGTTCCTTCACAAAAGTGGTCGTCCACCTTTGTGACTTGTCGGTTGGCAAGCTGTGTTGCTAGTTGGCTTCACATGAAGAAGAGATCACTCCTCACACGGGGTGATCTCCAACAGTCCACTAGTAGAACCTTTAAAATATGAGCTACTATAATTTATTGGGAAAATAACAATACAGTGTAAAAAAAATTATATATACATTTTGTATTAATATCAGTTTTCGTATAATAATCACAAAACTTATGGCATAAATAAAATGGATTTGGCATTGATGATTGCCAGAAAATGAGTTAGCATACTTGTTTAAGCCAAAAGCAAATTGGTCCAAGCACATAGACTTAAGGAAGAGTTTTGAAATATTTATAAAATAAATTTTTTTAAGTACCTCACAGCACCACCCCTCTCCCGTAAAGTATTCACTGCCAGTAGTGACATAATTTCATCTCAAATTGATCAGGGTCATGCATTTAAATGGGTCTAGGCCATCTGCGCAAATTGATGGTACAAATCAATTTGCTGCTTTTGAAAATATTGACAATAAAAATGTTGACAATATTGACAATATTCATAATTTTATCTCAAATTGATAGTTATTAATTATATGAGAAATAATTTCTTATTGAAAATGTTACGAAAGGCTAATTTTGAGACAATAAAAATGAAGATTTCTTCCAAAAGATGGGTACTACCAATGATTTTTTTTTAAAATGCTTCCTCCTGGTATGCTTAGAAGTGGATTTCAGTTACTTCTAAATCTAGGCACTTTCGGAAAAAATTTGATTTTTCACCACCCGGGCTCTGATACCAATTGTTGGAGATCGAGGGCACACCAGGAAACACAAACAAGCAATAACACAAGAGTTTTAATGTGGTTCGGTAAGTCACCTACGTCCACGAGCAGCGGATTTCACTATATGGAGAGAAATGGAAGAATTACAACAGAAACAATACACTGATAGTTTTTCTCTATATCAACTCTCCCCTTAGCCTCTCTATTTATACACTCAAGAGAAGGCAGAGAGGTTGGCTGGCCTTGCACATGTCCAGCCTGTTCCTTCACAAAAGTGGCTGTCCACCTTTGTGACTTGTCGGTTGGCAAGCTGTGTTGCTAGTTGGCTTCACATGGAGAAGAGATCACTCCTCACATGGGGTGATCTCCAACAGTCCACTAGTAGAACCTTTAAAATATGAGCTACTATAATTTATTGGGAAAATAACAATACAGTGTAAAAAAAATTATATATACATTTTGTATTAATATCATTTTTCGTATAATAATCACAAAACTTATGGCATAAATAAAATGGATTTGGCATTGATGATTGCCAGAAAATGAGTTAGCATACTTGTTTGAGTAAGCCAAAAGCAAATTGGTCCAAGCACATAGACTTAAGGAAGAGTTTTGAAATATTTATAAAATAAATTTTTTTAAGTACCTCACAGCACCACCCCTCTCCCGTAAAGTATTCACTGCCAGTAGTGACATAATTTCATCTCAAATTGATCAGGGTCATGCATTTAAATGGGTCTAGGCCATCTACGCAAATTGATGATACAAATCAATTTGCTGCTTTTGAAAATATTGACAATAAAAATGTTGACAATATTGACAATATTCATAATTTTATCTCAAATTGATAGTCATTAATTATATGGGAAATAATTTCTTATTGAAAATGTTGCGAAAGGCTGATTTTGAGTCAATAAAAATGAAGACTTCTTCCAAAAGATGGGTACTGCCAATGAAAATTCAATGAATATTTCTTTTAAACCTTATAATTTG